CGAGGGCCTCCGACGCTGCCGAGTGCCACGCAGCAGCCAGAGTCTCCACCGGACTGTGGGCGAAAGTGTCAGGGATAACCCCAAGCTCTGTCTGGAACCTTGACGGCTCCATAAGACGCCTGGGGCGGAACCACCTGGTCAGCTCCTCCTCCCTACAGTGGGGGTTTGGCCTCCGGAAGTCGAGCCTCAGTAGGCAGTGGTCTGACCACGACAGGGGTATGATGTCACTCCCCCTCAGACCAAGATCACAAATCCACTGCTCCGAGAGAAATACGAGGTCAAGCATGTGTCCCGCTGAATGGGTTGGGTTGGTTTACTCAAAATTTCCACTATGGTTCTCCAGAACCTGTCAGAACCTGCTGGATTTCACCCCTGGCTGACATAGTATAATAAATAGATTTATTTATTTTCTATTCAGGCAAAGTAGAAAAGACAGCCAGTCCATTTTAAAAACCAAACAATATATAATTTACGGTCAATAAATATATTCTGGGTGCTGAGAAAGCCCAACTAAGCTTCCAAGAGAATGCATTCCAAAATCTGTGAGAAAAAAGGAGGCCCTCCCTCCTATGCCAGAAAGATGGCAGCTACAAAAAAGACCCATCTTATAAATCTATGAGTCAGACAGGTTCATTGTAGAAGAGGCAGATTTAAGTTAAGTTTTAAGATAGTTAGGCCTTGAAATGTACTGTGGGCCATCAGATATCTGAACAGGCAAGGGAGGACATGGAGAATTAGAAAGGAGAGCACACTAACTATTTAATTTTCTTGGCATCTACACTCAAAATTACAATGAAAAAGTGCAAAAAAAATAATCTTAGGTCTAGTTCAGGGATGTCAACCTTGCTGCTCGTGGGCCGGATGTGTCATATGACCCCCACCCCTAGTTTAACAAAAGGGGAGGGGAGTCATAATATGTCACATGATGACGTGATGTTGTGAGTTTGACACTCGTAGTCCTAGATGTATATGAAACCATATTTTCATTGCATTTTTACAAAAAATGTAATTTCAAGAACACATGCTAACAATACATAGAATCTGCTGTGATGTGACGTCCCATTCAAATTTCACACAGAAATATATGATGAGTCGTGGGATATACAGTCTATAATGATCATATATTTGAAAGGGCTCGATTGAAGTGAAGTTAGATTGAAGCTAAAATCGGGAAATAAATATTGTAAATCTTGACTCTTGGATCTATCAATAAACGAGGTAAGGAAAGAAGCAAACAATTTACAAAGTGGCAATGTATGACAATTTGAATGACTATGGCTGTGAAACACTACCCTGGAAACAACTTTAATAAGATTAATATGAATAAAATTGTTTTATTTAAGGATATATCTGTAAGGAAGCTTTGGCATACATAACATATTGATCTGCATTTTATTAGAAAATCAAATTATAATTATTCTTTGTAATTAAATGTTACGATGTACTCCAAGACTTAAGTGGGCCTAAAGGTATGTAAAATTCACATGGACCTCTTCTTTAAATTCCAACAGTTGAAATTTAGCAAAAAGCATATTTTTCAAGCATAGAATTACATGACAAAAACAGTTTTAGACACCAACATTTTGCCTGGAAAACAACTGATGGTTACCTTTTAGTAATTCATACTCTGCTTTCAAAATGCAATATTTCCAAGGCAACGTACAAGAGAAATAGTCACAACCCAGGGATTTAGTAGAGAAAGTCAGGCAACAATTAAATAGTTATATTGCTTTAAGTTTTATTGTTTTAAACATATATTTGCAGTTGTGAAGGATGAAATCATTGCATTACTTACCCATCACTTTTCTTAAAGAGGTTCCCAGATCTCTCTGTGCCATACTGCTTATTTCCCTGGAGCTGATGCATGCTATACCTCACTGGCTTGCTTACAGAATTCTGCTAGAAAACAAATATACATATTTAAAATGTAATTATATACAGCAATAAGCAAGAATGCAGAAACAAAAATCCAAGTTCGTTGGACTACGATCTCAAAATTAGAAATGTTGAGTTGGAAATAGTTAGATGCACATTGATTCCACCTTTCTGCTCAGTCCAATATGGAGCCATAGAAATCCCTGGCAATCATCCAGCCATTGAGTGAAGAGACTCCACCATATTGCAAAATCCTCTTACCATCAGATCCTCTTAAAATATGGCCATTGCTTCCTTGCCATTTTCACCCATTGATTCTTGGTCTGCTCTCTACATTAACAGATAATGTAATCCATTTGCTGCACAAAACCTTTCAACTATTTAATCATATGATATATTTTCTCTTTTCCCACTGATTCATTTTATTAAAAAATTGCTTTGGGCACAAGTTCAGCACATTTACCCAGAAAATACTAAGCCTGCAATAGCAATGAATTATCTGCAGCAATACTTGTTGAAGCATAGAAAGATCAATCTAGTATAGTGTTTCTCAACCTTAGCAACTTTGGTAGAATTGGATTTCTGGAAGCTGAAATCCATTCATCTTAAAGTTACCAAGGTTAAGAAACACTGATGTAATATAATGGCCTGATTTTGCTGGCTCCATCTTTTCTTTTAATCAGAACTCCTCCAAAGTTAGCAGATGAAATTGAAAGCTGAGCGTTTATTATCCTTAGCCAAATATTTTTTGTCCCTGTGATAGGCTAACTTGGTACCTTTTCTTACTATGAACTTTTCTCTTAAAACAATGTGATCGGCAGTCTATTTCACATCAAAGCACAAAATACCATTGGGCACAGAGGACTTTGTGAAATTCTGCACTAAATTTTGGGACAGACATAGTGGGCTTTTTTGAATTTCCCCATGGAAAGAAAAACATTTTCTCCAACATTTTCTCATGAGCACAACTTTCCCTTAGGTGGGACAGCACTACTGCTGCTACTACTATTTTAAAAAAGGCTTCTGGGAGTAAATCCTTCATTCTGTTTTCCTTTGAGATTTAATTGAAGGGAGGATATACAGAACATGGGACAGAAAAATGTACAATGAATGCAAGAGACATGAGCACATCCACCCATCTATATCTATGCAACTCTCTTGTAATTAAATAAATACAGGAACACTTCACCTGTGAGTATTTTCTGAAGCTCTCTTTTCCTTTGAAGGAATTTTGAAACCAAATTACCTTCCATAAAATTGAAGAATTGACAGAAGCAAAGGCAGATTGGCAGAAACTGTGCTCATACACATGGTAAATTGTCTTTCCCCCAATTAATTCTTCCTTTTAAGTCCTCAAAAACCAATTTCTAAGAATGTTTCATGAGGTACCTACTGGCCTTTCTCTATAGCAAAACTGGATGTACCATCCACAGTTTTACCTCTCTGGGTTCCAACTGCAATGCTGATTTGAGCTGATCCCGAAGGGAATATAACTGTTTCTTCTCCTCTTCTTGCTTTGACTTCATCTAAAATGCATCACAAAAACATTCCACCAAACACGTAAGTTGTTTTTGTGTTTGCTGCAAATTACCTTTAGTTGGCATTTTTTTCTGTGCTGCCCAAGTCTCCAGGAAGTCTCCAGCCCACATTATTAACAGCAATTTTAACCCCAGTTAAGCTAACAAAATTAATGCTAACACCATTTGTTCCAAGTCTGACTGATGTGTGTTCAGATGCTTGCAATTTCAAATTATGCCTCTTCAATCCTTCTTCACTGTTTCATATACTTGAAAGGGATTAAGTTAAGATTAAAATGAAATGTTCAGACTACATAAAACAGCATATAAAATCTGTCCAGAAGGAAAAGGAAGTTTATTTATTATTTATTAAATTTATATGCCACCCACCTCCCCGATAAGTTGACTGTGGGCAGCTTACAAATTATAAAAAGATGACTAGAAAAACAATTAAAATGTTAAAATTACTCAAAAAACTAAAACCAAGATGATGGACACCATAGAGATGACGTCTTCTTACCCCATCAACTAACCCCTGCAGTGAGCGCTCCCCTCAGGGACCCAAGCCAATTGGCAAAACCAAGCTTTAATACCCTTCTGGAAAGTCAAAAGGCCAAGTTATATTTCTTTTCATGGAACCAGTTTACCTTTTATTTTGAACTTAATTATTAAGTTGAAAGTATTTGTTATGGATGTGGCCTGCAAACAATTAGTACTTGAGCACATCTGCACTTCCTTAAAGATATATTCAAGAAACTGGTTGAATGTGATTTTAGGGTGGAGGACTTTTTGGAACTTTCAACCTGTTGCTGAAAGTTTGCCTCATCAGTTGTCGGGCCCAAACAATCATGTCCACACATATAGTGTTTCAAGCTAACTATTCCACTTATACTATAGGAGTCTTCCAGTCTGTTTGCCTTCTCTTGGGAACAAATTGATATGGTCCTGAAATTTAGAGTGGAGGTTAGGGATAGGTATCTTGCAGCTGACCAATTTCATTGTATTTAAGTACAATGACAATAAAGATTATACTTATACTTATGTCCACTCCAGTTGAGAGACATACTAGAGGCTGCACAAAATCGATGCATTAGGACGGAAGTTAAATTTTATTCCATTTTATATTAAAAATAAACATAATATTCTCAAATTGTAATTGTTCAATAATTCCTTTCTTCTCAGTGGCTTCTGCAAGTTCTTGAAACTTTTAAGTTACAACCTCCAATCCCTTTACACATGTGAACTTCCAAGTTTTTAATGGGAGACTGCATGCCCAAGACTTCAGGTTTTGTGAAACTGTTGCAATGCAGCATGCATGAAAATGAAAAGCCAGAATGAGAATGAAATTCCACATTACGCTAAGTTGATAGGCTCTTTCCTACATTATTTACAAGAGTAAAAGGATTTTGGAAATGTAAGCTTTTGTTCAGTGTTTCTCAACCTCCGCAGCTTTAAGATGTGTGGACTTCAGCTGCCAAAATTCTCCATCCAGAGAAACTGCTATTAATATTAGTTGTATTACGTTCAAACAAACTAGCTTCAAAATGTGTTTTCTGGAGATAGCTTGCTAATAATACAATACAATAGCAGAGTTGGAAGGGACCTTGGAGGTCTTCTAGTCCAACCCCCTGCCTAGGCAGGAAACCCTATACCGTTCCAGACAAATGGCTATCCAATTTGTTTGGATATAATACAAACCTTAGTCATGCTAAATACAATTAAGAATCTGATTAACTAAAAGTAAAGTGAAAACTTTGAACTTCTCTTTGGAAAGCATTTGTTTCTGTGTATGTAAGCTTAAGACTTGCCAGAACTTGTGTCTGTTTATGCATTTCACACTGTGTTTTAACCTGATATGAAATTTTGGCCTATCAATTTCATATTATATACTCACACTCTGAATCTCAGGAGTTAATTTCTCTATAAATTGCTTGTGCTTCTCTGTTGCCTTTAAACATTTCTGGAAGAAACTGATAGAAAAATACCATGAAAGCAAAGTAAAAAATTGCATGTTCAGTTCATACCATTGGATTCTTTCTCATCAACACTACTATTTTCAGTGAAGTCTTTCTGCAATTACCATCACAACTGCTGACCTCAATATGTTGGAAATGATGCTTGATCAGCAGAAAGAAGATGGGAAGTGGGAAGAGATGACTTCCCATCAGTGGGCAAGTCATTAGCGGGACAGTAAAGCAAGAGCGGATAACTGATTGTCCAGAAGATCTCTAATGCTCAAGTGAAACTATTTAATGTGTTGTGATATTGCATGCATGCATTATAGAGCTAGTAAGAAATCAATTCAGTGCTAGATGCAAATGTGAGAACGATGAGATCCAGGATTTGAACTGCTGTAAGTTCAAATTTACAATTTACATTTGGAAGAGCCCTTTTGCAAGGATAAGATTGCTTACTCATAACTGAGTAAAATGTACAATATAGAATAAAATATATTTATGCCATAGATTCACATTTTCAAAAGCTTTTGCAACAAGAAATTTGTATTTAAACTGCCCTAATATCTTTGGTACCAAGAGAATTGTGAAGTATGAAAATGGATGGCACTTACTTGAACTGGGAGTTGCAGTGCTTGATGTTATTCTGCAGCAAGTCAACTCCTTTCTTGGTTTTAAGCTCGTTCACTTTAATTAGGTACTGGAGAGAAAGGTTACATAGCTGACTTTTTGAGCTACATTCTCATTTGTTTGCTTAGTCCTCCTCTGTTCCTTGAGTGCTAAGTTGCACTTTGCAGTTATCTCATGCACAAAGTATATGATAATCTTCGGTTTACATAAACTCAAAAACAATTGTACTTGTGTTGAAGTAATTTTATTTTATTTTTATGGTTTATTTTTTAAATTCTATGAAAGGCAGCGCTTACATAAGTGTTTACACTAACTAAACCAAATGCTACATTTATAATTCCCAAGCATTAGGATACACTCATTTCCACTAGCTAGCAGCAAAAAAAACCTAATTGCTATATAGTAGTGTTTATGGTACTATAGTAGAATTAAGATCTGAAGAACTATAATTGAATTTTACCAAATAATGAAAGTATTATATATTCTCAGAGATGGAATGATGCTTTAAAAATGAAGGTACCAAAATTAAAGGAATTATCTTGAAGGATATGTATTGACAAAATAAAAACAAACTTAATTTATTGGGAAAAAAATTAAGAGTTGGATCCAGATTCTCCTATATCAACTGAAGAGGTTTCTTCAATTTGAAGAGGAAATTGGGCACAAAACAGGAAGTGGTTTTTGCCACTTTACCTCTTCATTGCAGCTGTATATTACATCTCCTGGTTTTTTTTTTGAAACCCACTACAGATAGTCCTCAACTTATGACTACAATTGAGCCCAGAAATATGGTTGTACGTTGCGGAGGTAATTCAGTGAGGTGCCCACATGATTGACTTCCTTAACGACCACAACCCTGGCTCTCCCCATGGTGGTCATTAAGTGACTATGCAGTTCATTAAGTGGATACCAGGTGCCTCAGGCAGTGAGGAAGGCCTGGCACAGGCCAAGACCCACAGTATATACTTTCCCAGCTTATCTGCCTGCCCCTGACTTGCCAGTCTCCTGAGGCTCCCCTTGCAAGCTTCCCACATCCTTGGACCTCTTTCCCCCAATCAGGCCACTTAACTTTTCTAAGAACATCTTTTGGAAAAAGAACCATCCAAATTGCTATGCGGCCTTCCTATAATATACAGAGGCCAAATGGTGCTGTCCTAGAAGTGGGCACCAGTTTGGAAGCAGGCACAATTCTCACAATCCAAGAATTGTTCTGCTCCCAAATGATGCCCCCTACTGAGACAGCACCATGAGAACTCTGTATAGTAAGGCAAGGCCACATGGCAGATCGGCCATTTCTCTTTCCTACGGGGAATCTTCAGAAAATATAAATGAAGTAAGTTATGACAGGGAGCAAGAAAATCCAAGGATGTGGGGCTTAGTGAAGCGGGAATCAGTCCGAGGCCTGTGGAAACCAAGCCAGGAGGGAGATATAAGCCCATCCCCTTCTAGCACTGAAGATATTACCCAATTGTGTATTGAACGTCCAAAACAACCAAGCTCAGAGAGCACTAAGGATTCCACAAGATGCAGTTAATGGATTCTCAATCATTTCAGAGGCATCATGTTAGGGTCCTGCCTAAGCTCAAAGAAAGACAGGCTCAGGATCTCCTTCTTGAGAAGAAACTTCACCATCTGTCTGCCTCACCTCACACATATGTAACTGGAACATCCTTCGCTCTTTTTCCATCTCCTCCGCAATCTCTCCTCCAGCAACCTCTGTCCTCACCATTCCATATTGTTTTGCCAGCTCGCGCTTTTCTTTCTCTATCTTTGCACTCAAGTAGATAAAAGGCAAAGTTAGGTATTTTAATAAAATCAGCTCAAAATAAAGTAGTGTTACTTTGGTAAAGAAGATAATATCAAACCAACTTACAGTTTGCTTTCATAGTCCTTCCAAGCCTTTTCAACAGGTTTTTTAAAATCCTATTGAGAGATGAAGCAACATGCTGCATTTGATCTTTTGTTCTATTTTTCTACTCCCAAATAATTTTACATTGCTAAGTTTTTCTGTTAACATGTATGAGTTTGTGTGTCAAGCATTCCAATTGCTCTGATTCCCTTTATCTTCAGTTATTATCAGATCAATTGGATTCTATTTTTCTGAATATTGCTAAAACCGTTGAAATCATGTAATTTTTTCCTATCACTTCTTCACAAATGAAATCAATAAAACCATGGCTTTGGAACAAATTGTATTGCTCAGAAAATAAGGATATTATCCACAACTGCCCACAATAATGATCAGAAAAATAGTCTGTGTAAAAGGGGGCTTTGCAAGAAAATAACTTCAGGATCAGGAATTTGAGCATGCATGATTGACAGTGCCATATTGTCATGAGTGAGTTAGAAGGAAGAGAGCTGCCCCCAATAAAGAGTGTGAGCTGGATCCTGCAACATAGGAAAGCAATTATTGAAACTACATAGAATCACATTTTGAAAATCCACAAGCAGATGACTTGCTTTAAGACACATTCTACCATCTGTTTCCAGCATCAACTCACCCCTTTGAAATCTCCCTTGATCAGTGAATCCAGAGAAAACCGAATATTGTGATAGAGGCTCAGCAACTGAAAAACAAAGTTTATTATGTAGTTGGCCCGTAATGTGCTCTATCCTAATTAAAGAAGAGGATATGGAAAACAGTTGTAATAATTTACATTAAAGTATGCAGTATTCTGTGGAATGCTTTCAGGCAGCCGATGTTTATAGACATTAAGAAGAGACAAGATTAGCAAGCAGCTGTTCTCTTCTAATGGCTGGTCCCCATAATTGTATTTATGAGGCAGGGCAGGTGATATAAGAACCTCCCCTAAAAGCAATCAGATTCAGCAGTACTGCAGAGATTCAAAAACAAGGATAGAAGCAGGCAATGCCAGTCCCAGAGCAGCGTACAGGTAGTTCTTGACTTACAACAATTCATTTAGTGACTGTTCAAAGTTACAATGACACTGAAAAAAATGAGTTAGGACAATTATTCATACATATGATATTTGTAGCACACACACCGCCATGATCATGTGATCAAAATTCAGATGCTTGGCAACTTATGATTGTTGCTGTGTCCCAAGGTCATGACAATCTTTTGATAGCAAAATCAACGGGGAAGCCAGATTCACTTAACAACCATATTACTGACTTATCAGCTGCAGTGATTCACTTAACAACTGTGGCAAGGAAGGTCATAAAATGGGGCAAAACTCACTTAACAACATAAATTTTGGACTCAATTGTGATCGTAAGTCAAGGACTACCTGTAATGGATAATATTCAGAAATCTCATCTATAGCAGGACTAAACTTGCTGTTTTGCAAAAGAAGAAGAAGAAGAAGAAGAAGAAGAAGAAGAAGAAGAAGAAGAAGAAGAAGAAGAAGAAGAAGAAGAAGAAGAAGAAGAAGAAGNAAGAAGAAGAAGAAGAAGAAGAAGAAGAAGAAGAAGAAGAAGAAGAAGAAGAAGAAGAAGAAGAAGAAGAAGAAGAAGAAGAAGAAGTAGTAGTAGTAGTCCTACTACTCTTCCAAGAGAGCAGGAATTCTGAATCCAAAAGTAGCCAGCTGACTTTTTCACAGGTATGGAGAAAGGAACATGGTATGAAATGGGAAGGAGCAACTGATAATAATTGAACTCCATCCTTGCTTAGTGCTGCAAAGGGAGGACTCATGACAAGCAGCATCTAGAAGAACTCTGTGGAATGGGATGTGCCTGCTATCCCCAGTATTAAAATCAATGGCTACATGAAACCCCTACTCAGCAGAAACACCAGAAAACTTTTAAAGCCCTCTTTAGGCACAGAACTAGCAGTGCACAGCTGGCAAACTCCATTATCTTTCCTGATTCAAATGTTCTATGCAGTGTAAATTAGTTTTCTTTAAGGACAGATCCATGCTCTTTCAAAAGTGTGCTAAATCAGTGCATATAAAGAGCCTGTGTAGGATGAACCAGGCATTTGAAGGCAAATGTCTCTGCAGTAGCCAAGTGTCTTGTCTCTTCTGTCAGATTTAAAGGACCAATAGGAAGTCTGCTGATCCTCAACCCAGATCACATCAGCAGCCAAATGATTGGTGTAGTATGCCACATTTTGTTTTTCTTCCATTCAATCATGGCCAATTCTTGGAGACTGCCTGGACAAGACCCTGCAGTTCTCTTGACAAAGTTTTCAGAAGTAATTTGTCACTGCTTCCTTCCTAGGACTGAGAAAAAAATGACTGGCCCAAAGTCACCCAGTTGGAACAAGAACCCAAGGTGGCACTAGAACCTACAGTCTCCTGGTTCTAGAGTAACTGCTACACCAAATTATACTCATGGCAAAAATTGTATCATGAAAACATTAATTCAAAAGTGGAACAGCTAAAGATGACTTCATGCAGTGTATCCTTTGGGCTGGAATTAAGGTGAAGGGAAAGTCTCGACGGCATACCTTTAAAACCAGGACTGAGTGGGACTCCTAATGGTAATTTTGGCATAATTTAAAAATATGCACATTGCAGTTAAACTTCTCAAACATTTGTCCCCAACCTTATTCCTGTCCCAGGTTCCCCAAATGCTGAGCATTGGCTTTGGTCCGCAAAAAATTGACTGCCCACATGTGGAAAGCATAAACATGTTCTGCTGTCCCCTATGATTAATAAATGGATTAAGCACATTTTCCATTTTTATATCTAGGATATTATTTAACCATGTAAATTTCTTGATACCTGTGGTCAGATTTTGCACAGGTCGGGGAGATATTTGATCCTCTGAATGGATTTCCTAAAATGCAATTAATGCCAACTATCATGACAAAGAACAGGAAAGACCTGTCCATGGCCCTCCAGATGCTGTTGGAAAACAATGCCCAGTAAACCCAACAGTAGGACATAGGAACACTTTCCCCAGAAAATGGGAGGTCGGATGGATGGGGCAGTACCAGGCTCTTGATGGCTTCTAGCAGCTCTTGTGAAAATGAAGCAAAGGTGGTAAATGCTTCAGACAGCTTTTCATCTCCACTGTTGTGATAGTTTCCTGAAAATTTCTCCAGGGCAGCAATATGAGCTTCTAAATGGCTAATGAGATCTGCAGAAATTAAAAAAAAAATGGTATTTGAATGTTCTTGCACATCTTTTTCTGAGGCAAACAATGCTGTATTACAAAAGGAAATCTGGAAACATTGGCAGGAACCCATTTCATTTATTTTAATGGCCCTAAAACCCACATGAATATAGTATAGCAATAGTCTGGAATTTAGCAAATGAAAATGTACTTTGGGAAGGACGTGGAATGCAGCATGAAGATAAGGATGTACTACTGATCTGAAGTTTGTTAAGAAGCACAGCAGGAGAGAATATATGGTTTCCCAGTTCTTGAACTGCTGCTCAATTCCATTAATGGTCCTCCTGACCATGCTGGTAAGGGCAGATAAGAGCTGGAGTTCCCTGCCAAATGTGGAATTATAGATTGCCAAATGGTAATCCTTTACAATGAAGATTGTGTTCTAATAAAAGATATTTCCTTCGTCTTTTCTCATCTGGAACTAATGACTTCCAAGTGTATCCTGAATGGGAAATTTATCTACAAGAGGAATCCAAAGACACCTCTAGGAGGTGTAATGTCAAAGGGGTCACAGAGAGATAGCTGGTCAGGAGTGAAGGAAGCACTTTTGGAATATAGTTTCCCTTTAGAAATGGATGATACCATGGTAATGTCCATGATTATGCTGTTTGTTTTTGGAATCAATTTGTTTACAAAAGCACTAGTCTGATCTAATTTCTTTGAAAGAATATTACAGATAGTTTGGCTGGATTCACACTGTGGGAATGTGTCTGCAGGGGAACAGGACGGCAAGTGATACCACAATGTTATGGCAAAAATGCAAATTGTATGATTTGTGTCAATGTGGACATGTGATGCCTATGATTGTATAAGTTTGATTCTGACTTATTGTAGTGTATGAATCTAGCCATTCTGACTCCTGTCATGGTTTATGGTTAATGTGCAAAGCAGGCTATAGGGCTTATTCAACAATCCATAGTTAAAACAAACTGTGGCACATTTTATTTTGTGAATCCAGCCTTTTTTCTTGCATGCACAGATGTGTTTGTAAGCAGAGTGTATATATTTAGTCTGCAGCACACAAAATAGTTTATTCACATGTAACAAAGATGTACACAATATCAGTGAAGAGCCAATTTCCATGGAGTGCAGCAAGATTGTCTGCAGTGGGTAGCATTTGCACCTACAGCTTGACACAGAATTCTAGAATGTCTCCTTTTCAGGGAAACCAGCTTTTCATGGACTAAATGAAAAGGGTTTAATATAAGGGAGCTGCTTAGTGTTAGGTATGTACTGAGTTGGAAATTCTTTGTCGTGCCTCAACAAGTATATTTGTCAGGTAGCAGTCCTATGCATCCTACCTGAAATGGCAGTTTGTGCAATACATTTACCCAGTGGGAACATAAAATCAACTTTTCTTTCTTTGCATGACATGGACCGGGCTTATGTTGTCTACAAAATATTTGCCCAATTTATGGTTCAGTATCAGTTGCCTCCCACTTCCCCTTTGGTTCCTTTGAGGACATATTTACTCCTGGCAATAGCCTGGGCAAGTCCCTGTAGTTTCTTGGCAAAGTCTTTCAGAAATGATTTGCCATTGCTTGCGTCTTAGAGCTGAGAGGGAGTGACTGGCCCAAGGTCACCCAGCTGGTTTCGTCCCTAAGCTGGGACTAGAACTCAGAGTCTCCCAGTTTCTAGCCTGATGCCTTTACCACTACACCAAACTAGCTCTCTAAACAGCCTTACTAAATTCAACATTCCTATTAAACTTAGTAGGATCTATTTCTGGATACCTGTATTTATAAGAATTGAGAGAAAGAACTAAAGGAATTAGACTTTAAAAAAAAACTCCTTAGGCATACAGAAATATCATTCTGGCCTGCCAGATTTGTCTGCCTTGGCTACATCCCATTCTTGTTGCATTCTGACCTTGTCCAGTCGTGTGCTCTGCTTTGACTGCTTTCCTCATTTTTTGCAGGACATTTCGATCTGAATCCAAGTCCTAAAGGCATTAGAAAAAGAAAGACTAAGCATATATTCTCTTCTGACCACAACCAAAGTCACCGCAATTGGGAAAAGTGTATAATTGTAGAGTTATCAACATGCTAATGCTTTAATTTTGCAGTTCATTAGGAGTAGCTTTTATAGCAAACCATAAGGACGCTAAAATGGTAACAGGCTTGGAGCGATCTCATTATACAAAGGTTGTGGTTATATCCTACATCAGACAGAACTTTATAAGTGGTGGCATTCGCATGATGACATCATAATACATATATTGTCATCTCCTGCCCCCCAAAACCTATGTTCACAGAAGCTTTTAAGACAACAATGTTGCCAACACAACTGAGAAGTTACTGAAAGATTTCAGTGGTTTTGTTCAGATTTATTAAAATCAATTATATAAACTTACCTTTGTAACTAAACAACCTGTTTGGATTACTGCAATACAGAGTACATGAGTTTGCCCTTGAAGACTACCCAGAAGTTACAACTGGTCCAGAATGCAGCGTGTCAGGCGCCCTGAGGTTTGCCCATTACTCCTGTTCCACAAGTTGCATTAGCTCCCAGTTTTCTTCCAGGTGCCATTCAAGGTGCTAATATCTTTAAAGGCCTATATAGCATGGGACAACGTTATCTGCAGGACTGCCTTGCTTGCAGCAGATAAAGTAGGCATGTTGCAAGTCCTTTCCCTTAAACATTGCCATCTTGTGGGTCCTTGGAAGCTTGCCTTTTCTGTTGCAGGCCTTGCCCTATGATACTCCCTCCTCTAATTTCAAGGTGCACCTACCCTTTTTCTGGAGAGAATGCAAGATCTGACTCCAATACCCCAAGCAGTGGGATAGGTGAGGTGAGGTGAGAATGTGGATTGCACCTGAGAGATAGGGTTGTAGTGCCAGGTTTCTCTGTTTTATTTTTTTCAGTTTTAGGACTATATATGTTTATGGGATGAAAGCTACTCAGAGTTGGTTTTAAAATGGGCAGCTATAGAAATGCTATAAATAAATGAATTCTGCAATTTTCTCCCCTGCACCTCAAGATAAGAATAACCTCATCAGTTCTCAGCTTCTGAAGGTCCTTCAAGATCTGGTTTTACCAGCAGGCCTGAGATGCGAGGGGACAAATGAACTATTGAGGTGGCTCCATTGCTATGGATGTCCCTTTGTCTAAAAAAACTATACAAACTACTAAAACAAGTATAATGTTTTAAACAGTCATGGGATTAAAAAAAATTACTACTGGTTCTGTGGGTGTGGCTTGGTGGGCGTGGCTTGGTCAGCTTGCAGGGGAAGGTTACTGCAAAATCCCCATTCCCTCCCTACCCTACTAACCTGCTTTCCAGCTCCGTTCTCCTGTTCAGGGCAACAAAAGAAGATCAGCTGGGAGGCAGCGAGGGTACGGCCAGCCTATTTGCCAGTTCTCCTAACTACTCAAAATTTCCACTACTGGTTCTCCAGAACCTGTCAGAACTGGCTGAATATCACCTCTGGTTTTAAATACTTGTTACTGAAAATGATTTTGGATATTTATTATTTTAGTTTGTTGTATACATCCAAGAATCACTTGTTTGTGAGATGGCTGATAATATATAAATATATATAATTATATAAATAAATACACTCATACATATACTGGAAAGCATGGGTGAGAATTGCTAGCAATT